GGTTAGGAAATCAACAATTTCCTCTGAAAGGGTGGGAACCTACGGTGGAGGGAGTACATGAGGGGTGGTATCTGCCCTATTTCTGACTCTAATAAATGTATTTTTGCTGCATCATTATTCCTAATTTAGCCTTCTTTTCCTTTTTTTTCCTATAAAACCCAAAGCGGAGCAAACGTCACCCAATTCTGCCCACCCCCTTGCCATATATCTTGGGCCCACTGGGTCCCCCTCATACCATGGGAACCCCTGTTTTTTTTCCCAGACAGAGTCCCCTACCATATCCATATAAAAAAGTATTTTATCACCACTAAGGGAAAGGGACCCACACTGGCCCATTACTACCCATTTGCTAATCTATCTACCCGGGGATAAATTTTAAAGAATAATTGCCCCAAAAATAGGGCTACATAATTTTTACACGCTTCACCAAATTTTGGGGAGGGGGGGGCTTATTCCTACTCTGCTTCTCCCCATATCTTACACTTGATATATCTGTATCACAAATCTGCCCTATGGGGCGTAATGACAATTTATCCTTAAAAATGCCTGGACCTAAGTACTTTCTCTAGTCTTTCTTATGTTTTATAAAAGTGAGATTATAACGGGGTGTACAATATTTTTCTAATAAATTCTCCCAAATTTTTTCTAATTACAAACAATTTAAACAAAAAATACTACCCCCCCAACTCAGCGTTGACCCCTCACCCAATCTCAACCAATAAGGTTTAGCTGAAGGGGTGGGGCATTCACACTGAAAAAAAAAATACCTTCAGTAACTGTGGCCCATAACTTACCAACTGGGCACTTTGTCCACAAACAAATTTTATCTTCTAGGGATGGGAAGAAAAGAAAAGATTCCCAGGAAGATGATCAACCCCGGCTTTTCCGGGTTTTCTTCTAAAAAACTCTTTTCAGTCTTTTCATAAGGACTTTGCGTTCCCAAAATCCCCTCTGTCTTTTTCCAAAAAAGACCTTGTGCCCCCCAAGCACTTTGTGCCTGGCCACTGGGCGTCTTATGACGCTGAGTCCAGTGCTACCATAGGGCATGAGATTTCAATCAGAGCCTTACCGGCAAGTACAGTTATGTGACAAAAATGACAAAAAATCTTACTTACCAAGGATATTATCTCATCCCGGACACAAGCCCTCCCAATTGAAAGGAATTGGCTCTTCCGTTCCTTCCTGTAGGGCCACTGACCCCGTCAGCCCCTGGCCTTGATCAATGTTTGTCCTCAGGCCTGGAGTCCCCTTTGAGAATACAAGAGAAAAATGCACACAGGACACAAGATGGTATCTTCGAAGGAACTGAATTTATTCTGCCGTGTTTCAACTTATATATGAATCTTAAAACAATACATAGAAATATAAGAACCAATCAATTGGACATGGTATGTATTAACCAATCCGAATATTACATACGTCAGTCATGCCCAATCAGTTGGCATTATATGTTAATCTATTATGTATATACGTCAAGCTTTGAACTTTGATAACAGCACAAAAGAAAGCAGACAATTCCTCTTTTACCGCTGGCTTATAGATATTCTAATACTCGTTGCAACAGGATGTAGCCCACCGCAGACTTTCAGTCTTGGGCTAGCTAAGGGAAAAAGGGGAAGTTGCACCTGGACAAAAATGAGGAACTTTTTAAACTCCTGACAAATATACGTTTAAGACAAGAAGTCAATTCTTTTACAATACTGACTTAAGATGGATATGATTCTTAGATGGAGGAACTTTGGTCTCAGAGAGACAAGATGGCTGAGACATCAAACTTAGGGCTAATCCTTCGGTGGAAAGAGGTCCTGGTGACAGTTCTACGAGCTTACAGGTGGGCATCTAAGAGTGCTTATACACTAATCTAATATACACTCACCGGCCACTTTATTAGGTACATTTTTTTGATGCAAGAAAATGTCCTCAACACTATTATGCCACCAGCAAACAATATGCAAAGCAGGAAGGATCCATGGCTTTTCACATTTGTTTACGCCAAATTCTGACCCTGAATGTTTGCAGCAACCAGTCTGCCCATTCTCCTCTGACCTCTGACATCAACAAGGTCCCAGTGGGTCAGCAGGTTTTTGAAATACTCAGACCAGCCCATCTGGCCACCAACAACCATGCCCACATTCAAAGTCACTTAAATCCCCTTTCTTCCCTATTCTGATGTTCAGTTTGAACTTCAGCAAGTCTTCTTCACCATGTCTACATGCCTAAATGCACTGAGTTGCTGCCAAGTGATTGGCTGATTAGCAATTTGTGTTACCAAGCAATTGAGCAGATGTACCTAATAAAGTGACCGGTGAGTGACTTTTTTTTGTTTATTTAGCAAAAAACAAACCCAGTGGTGATTAAATAACCACAAAAGAAAGCTCTATTTGTGTGAACAAATTGATAAAAATTAATGTGGGTACAATGTTGCATGATCGCGCAATTGCCATTCAATGTGTGACAGTACTGAAACCTGAAAATTGGCCTAGGCAGGAAGGAGGTAAAAGTGTCGTAGTGAAGTGGTTAACCCAAACTAAACATGCATTATTTACAGTGCTATATGTGGTCAGTCTCTAAATCATATACCCCTTATGCTATATTAAAATAGATAGGTGAATCACAAAATATGCATAATCCCAAATCTGCTCTTCATTAAAGTGTTTTTTTTTTTAATAAATGGACAAGCATATTATACGTACTTGCTCTGTGCAATTGTATTACACAGAGCAACCCCATGCTTCCTCTTCTGGGGTCCCCCGCCAGTGCTCTGGGCTTCTTATTTTCTGTGTCTGCCCCATAGAAAAATGCTTGCTATGGGGGAAGATGTATGGGCTTGATCTCGAGCGGGCTGTGTGTGTCCATTTACACATACAGCGTGGCTTGGACCCATTCCCCCGCTCTCAGTTCACAGAATTTGACTGACAGCAGCAGGAGCCAATGGCTCCCACTGTTCTCATCCAAGCTTGTGAGAGAGGAGAGAAGACCAGAAGACTAGACTGGTTTAACTGTGACTTGTTACAGGTTGCCAGGAGCAGTCTGGAAGATGTAATTGTACAGGAGGATTCTATCCACAACTGTTCATGGGCTGCAACTACAGGGCCCATAAAGCACCTGAGAGCAGGATGGACTATATAAGAGAAAAGCCTGGAATGAGCCGGACAGCTGGGGGAAGCATGCCAACGCGGGTGTCAGGAATGGACTGGCCAGCAATGGTGGACTCACCTGCCTTTTGATCTGCAGTACCAGGCTGGCCAGCGGGTGCTCGCCAGCAATCAGAGACTCAACCTTTCAGCCAGCTAACACCTGGAACTGATGATACTGGTGTATTTAAGGGATGGCCAGACTTGCAGACTCTGCCTTGGTGTTGTGTTTGTCCTGGGCCCTGTTCCTGTTTCTGTCCTGCATCCTGTTTCTGAACCACTGCTGACTTCTCCTGCTCTGATCCCGGCTCGCTCCTGACCATCCCTCTGTCTGACCCTCTGTACCACGCTGCTTGCTACCTGTCTGATCCCTGGCTTGTGACCCTGACCATCCCTCTGCCTGACCCTCTGTACTACGCTGCTTGCTACCTGCTGAACCTGGCCTGTGACCCCGATCAATCTCCGCTTGCTCCCCCTGTACCTATCTGCCCTATTGATATTGACGGCCTGCCTGACGACGCTTGCTTGTATGTACTGTTATCTGTGGGTGGTTGGTTTGGTTTGGTTGCACTGTATTGTGTTTTAGTATTGCACTGCGTTTATGTTTTGTATTGTTAGTGTTAATAAATTATATTGTTTTATAACATATCTGAGGTCTGCGTTTCCCTGCGTCATCCACACACCTCTGGTCACACCTGGGAGCCCTGACATTACACCAAGGCCAATCCTGACCAGAAGTGGCTGCACAGGGAAGCCATCTTGGCTTGTTGCTGGGAAGGATGGATCTGGATGAGGTTGTGTATTTATATCTGCTAGTGTTTGATGACAGGGAGTATGCTTATCAAACTCTGAAGGAGTATCCCCAGGGATCAACTGCTAGAATGTATACGGCTCGCTCATGTTCTAGTAGATCAGGGCACAGAGTTCTCTGAGGTGCAGCCTTTGATTGAGGTTTGTGCTGGGTTGGTTTCATCTGGTTCCCCCGAATGCAGGGATGAATTTTTGCCACCATTTAGTGCAGACCAGGTAGAGTCCCTGGTATGGTTATTAGAGGATGATGTGGGTTACTTTCTGGAGCGTTATTCCACATGTTCACCACAGACACTAAGAGATTGTATAAACGCAGTGCAGTCATTGACCAGACAGGCTTTGTGTAAGCTCAGCTTTGTTCAACCCTACTGCAGACATGGACAGACTTGTTGCATTGAACCCAGCCTCAGTCAGCTTACAAAAACCCAGTCCTGCTTCTAACTCTACTCCTGTATTCCCACCAGCTCCTACAGTTACAGCCCAGTATACTTGGCTATCTACCGCATGTCAGTCCCCTGTTCCCACTCGCTGCACCTATCCTGCCTTTAACCCTGTAAAAAAGCCCTCTGTAGCAACTGCTCCCTCTCCTGTTTCCATCCTCCAGTTCTTCTCTGTCTCCAGCTGCTCCATTCGTTTGCAGACCTGCGTTTACTTGCAGTGCTCCAGTAGTTAAAACCAGAAAGAAGCGAAAATTCTTTCCAACCAATACCATCCTGCCAGTATCCAAACCGGTGAACCTGCCTTCCGTGGTTCAGCCTGAAGCCTCTACTCAGCCTGAAGCCTCTCTTCAGCCGGATGCCTCTCTTCAGCCGGATGCCTCTCTTCAGCCTGATGCCTCTCTTCAGCCTGATGCCTCTACTCAGCCTGATGCCTCTACTCAGCCTGATGCCTCTACTCAGCCTGAAGCCTCTACTCAGCCTGAAGCCTCTACTCAGCCTGAAGCCTCTACTCAGCCTGAAGCCTCTACTCAGCCTGATGCCTGCATTCAGCCTGATGCCGCTGCTCAGCGTGATGGACTGATCCAGCCCGGCGATCCTATTGGGCCAGTTGACTCGGTGCCCGCTGTTGATCCAGATGATCCGGTGCCTGATCCGGTGCCCGCTGTCGTGCCAGTTGACTCAGAGCCCGCTGTCATACCTGGTGACCCGGTGCCCACTGCCTTGCCAGATGACCTGATCCCTGGTGACCCAGTGCCCGCTGTCATACCTGGTGACCGATGCCCGCTGTCGAGCCAGACAATCCGATGCCTGGTGACCCGGTGCCCACTGTCGTGCCTGTTGACTCGGAGCCCACTGTGCCTTGCCAGATGACGCGGTGCCCGCTGTCGAGCCAAATGACCTGATGCCTGGTGACCCGATGCCCGCTGTCCTGTCAGACGATCCAATGTCTGACCCAGTGCCCGCGGTCATACCAGTTGACTCGGAGCCCACTGCCTTGCCAGTTGATGCGGTGCCCCGCTGTCGAGCCAAATGACCTGATGCCTGGTGACCCAGTGCCCGCTGTCATACCTGGTGACCCGATGCCCGCTGTCGAGCCAGACAATCCGGTACCTGATGACCCGGTGCCCACTGTCGTGCCTGTTGACTCGGAGCCACTGCCTTGCCAGATGACGCGGTGCTCGCTGTCGAGCCAAATGACTTTGAATGCCTGGTGACCCGATGCCCGCTGTCCAGTCAGACGATTCAATGTCTGACCCAGTGCCCGCGGTCATACCAGTTGACTCGGAGCCCACTGCCTTGCCAGATGACGCGGTGCCTGCTGTCGAGCCAAATGACCTGATGCCTGGTGACCCGATGCCCGCTGTCCAGCCAGACGATCCAATGTCTGACCTAGTGCCAGCGGTCATGCCAGTTGACTTGGAGCCCACTGTCGTGCCTGGTGACTCGGTGCCCGCCGCTTCGCCTGGGGGCCCGAGACCTGTCGCTCCGCCTGGGGGTCCGGCGCCCGCCGCTCCGCCTGGGGGTCCGGCGCCCGCCACCCCACCTGGGGGCCCGAGACCTGTCGCTCCGCCTGAGGGCCCGAGACCTGTCGCTCCGCCTGGGGGTCCGGCGCCCGCCGCTCCGCCTGAGGGCCCGAGACCTGTCGCTCCGCCTGGGGGTCCGGCGCCCGCCGCGCTCCGCCTGAGGGCCCGAGACCTGTCTCTCCGCCTGGGGGTCCGGCGCCCGCCGCTCCGCCTGAAGGCCCGAGACCTGTCGCTCCGCCTGGGGGTCCGGCGCCCGCCGCTCCGCCTGAGGGCCCGAGACCTGTCGCTCCATCTGGGGGTCCGGCGCCCGCCGCTCCGCCTGAGGGCCCCGAGACCTGTCGCTCCACCTGGGGGGTCCGGCGCCCGCCGCTCCGCCTGGGGGCCCGATGCCTGTTGCCCCGCCTGGGGGCCCGATGCCTGTCGCCCCTCCTGGGGCCCGATGCGTGTCGCCCCGCCTGGGGGCCCGATGCCTTTCGCCCCCCCTGGGGGTCCGGCGCCCGCCGCCCCGCCTGGGGGCCCCGATGCCTGTCGCCCCGCCTGGGGGTCCGGCGCCCGCCGCTCTTCCGCCTGAGGGCCCGAGACCTGTCGCTCCGCCTGGGGGTCCGGCGCCCGCCGCTCCGCCTGAGGGCCCGAGACCTGTCGCTCCATCTGGGGGTCCGGCGCCCGCCGCTCCGCCTGAGGGCCCGATGCCTGTCGCTCCACCTGGGGGTCCGGCGCCCGCCGCTCCGCCTGGGGGCCCGATGCCTGTCGCCCCGCCTGGGGGCCCGATGCCTGTCGCCCCCGCCTGGGGGCCCGATGCCTGTCGCCCCGCCTGGGGGCCCGATGCCTGTCGCCCCACCTGGGGTCCGGCGCCCGCCGCCCTGCCTGGGGGCCCGAGACCTGTCGCTCCGCCTGGGGGTCCGGCGCCCGCCGCTCCACCTGAGGGCCCGAGACCTGTCGCTCCGCCTGGGGGTCCGGCGCCCGCCGCTCCACCTGAGGGCCCGAGACCTGTCGCTCCATCTGGGGGTCCGGCGCCCGCCGCTCCGCCTGAGGGCCCGATGCCTGTCGCTCCACCTGGGGGTCCGGCGCCCGCCGCTCCGCCTGGGGGCCCGATGCCCGCCGCTCCGCCTGGGGGCCCGATGCCTGTCGCCCCACCTGGGGGCCCGATGCCTGTCGCCCCGCCTGGGGGCCCGATGCCTGTCGCCCCGCCTGGGGGTCCGGCGCCCGCCGCCCTGCCTGGGGGCCCGAGACCTGTCGCTCTGCCTGGGGGTCCGGCGCCCGCCGCTCCGCCTGAGGGCCCGAGACCTGTCGCTCCACCTGGGGGTCCGGCGCCCGCCGCTCCGCCTGGGGGCCCGATGCCTGTCGCCCCGCCCTGGGGGGCCCGATGCCTGTCGCCCCGCCTGGGGGCCCGATGCCTGTCGCCCCGCCTGGGGGCCCGATGCCTGTCGCCCCGCCTGGGGGTCCGATGCCCCGCCGCTCCGCCCGGGGGCCCGGCGCCCGTCGCCCTGCCCGGGGGGCCCGGCGTCCGTCGTCCTGCCCGGTGTGCCAGTCTTTGATATCCCGCCAGTTACCAGACCCGGGCGGTGGAACATTTTGCCCAGCTAGGACTGTTTGGAGCGTCCTGAGGCCGCTCCTTGAGGGGGGGGTACTGTCAGGAATGGACTGGCCAGCAATGGTGGGACTCACCTGCCTTTTGATCTGCAGTACCAGGGCTGGCCAGCGGGTGCTCCCAGCAATCAGAGACTCAACCTTTCAGCCAGCTAACACCTGGAACTGATGATACTGGTGTATTTAAGGGATGGCCAGACTTGCAGACTCTGCCTTGGTGTTGTGTTTGTCCTGGGCCCTGTATCCTGTTTCTGTCCTGCATCCTGTTTCTGAACCACTGCTGACTTCTCCTGCTCTGATCCCGGCTCGCTCCTGACCATCCCTCTGTCTGACCCTCTGTACCACGCTGCTTGCTACCTGTTCTGATCCCTGGCTTGTGACCCTGACCATCCCTCTGCCTGACCCTCTGTACTACGCTGCTTGCTACCTGCTGAACCTGGCCTGTGACCCCGACCAATCTCCGCTTGCTCCCCCTGTACCTACCTGCCCTATTGGTATTGACCGGCCTGCCTGACGACGCTTGCTTGTATGTACTGTTATCTGTGGGTGGTTGGTTTGGTTTGGTTGCACTGTATTGTGTTTTAGTATTGCACTGCGTTTATGTTTGTATTGTTAGTGTTAATAAATTATATTGTTTATAACATATCTGAGGTCTGCGTTTCCCTGCGTCAGCCACACACCTCTGGTCACACCTGGGAGCCCTGACACCGGGAGAGAGCTGTGCTGTGTCAGGCTGTACTGTGTTGAGCCATGGATGCCAAAACCAGAAGGTTGATCCGAGTGGGGACATGTGCATCCAGAGTCATTGTCCAAGTCAGCCTTTCTCAACCAGGGTGCCTAGGCACCCAGGGGTGCCTTCGGACTTTGTCAGGGGTGCCTTGGCAGTATGCCTAAAAACTGCCTAAAAATTGTATACAAGCCAGCAGGTGGATCAAACCTGCCATTTAATTACACAAAGCCATAGGTTTTCATTGCGTACTTTTACAACCTGCCAGCTGCCGGCATCCTAACAACCAATGACATCATCAGTTGATAAGGAGGATGTTGGGCGCCTCACAGCATCCTTGTTTTCTCCTCCCCTGCCCATCTTTATCAGCAGTGAGGTCACATTAGCAGAGTGAGGGAGAGGAACTAAGGAAGAAACACTGGAATACTAGTCAGTACCAGTTTGCAAAGAAATATTTGCTTTGGAAGAATAAATCACTTCTAACGTTGGGTGTTCTATGAGTGTGGATGTTGCTGTATTATGTAAAACTATTAGAATAGTTGTTTTACATTTTAGAATGGGGTGCCTTGAGATTGTGCAGAATGTTAAAGGGTGCCTTGAGATTGTCCATCATTTTAAAGGGTGCCTTGACACTGGTCCAAGACATGTTTGCATCTGCTACTGGTTGTTGGCAGTTCTCAAGCAAGGTATCCTGGTGGTGTCAGTGAGTCTGAGGCGTTACCTAGGGCTAGGAAGAGCAGAGGACCCAAGATTATTAGCGGCTCCTGCGGGGGTAGCACTACATATATATACTGTACATAGCTTAAGGGGGTTAGGGCTGGTTTGTTTTCTATCATTTAAAATGTAGACTTTTACACCACAAATGCCAGCATGCAGCAGCCAATTCATGTTATGCTATTGAGAGTTTAGTACAGGGAATGCTGAATAGTTGCTATGAGTTACTGCGCTTTACTCTTCGCAGTGTCTGTTAAATGATTCTAATATAATGAAATATTATTGCATAATCTTGTATGGTAACCACATCTAACAAATGTAAGTTTATTACATTTGTTTTATCTTTATTATCATCTTGTAACTGAAGATTAATTATTACATTTCTGCTATTTGTTGAATTAAAAGGATTATGTAAATGAAAAGAAAAATTCCACTTTCACCGTTAAAACAAGTTAATTGTTTTATTTGTTTGATCTTAATCTCCAGAGTCCTTTCCAATGCGACTGAATATTTTGATAAATTCCCTAGCTGGCAACAGGAAGTGTTTTACTGTGCTTCCAGGAAAGGAATACCAATGTATTAATCAAGAATGTTAGGCACAGAGCTTCAAAGAAATTGAGTAACTGTTTCAACTAATTGGATAAGCCGTGCATGTGTGCTTGTGTGATGCCTGCTTTTAAACATTTTAATTAACAACTGTAGGAACTTAAAAGGATATATCATACATTCATTTCTTCCATGTTATTAAAGTGTCCCTAACAGTGAGAAATAGCTTTGTAGAAAAAGCATCCTCTATTTCCTTATACTATGAATAAATATGTGGCTACTTTAACTGCAGACATGATAGTTCAGTTTATAAGGATTTTACTTATTCACATTTTTTATTGCGCTATATGGCAGTGTGAGATTGGCACTTTGTGTACTGTATCTGACAAAATAATTATAATAAAAAACCCCATTGTTTGTGGTTCATTAGCAGGTACTCATTAGTCCTTTTATACTGAAATGCTTAGGTATTTTTTTTAGAGTCCATGTCCTGGACTGTACCAGTGAGTTCTACAGTATAGAACATATTTCTAATGTGGGGAACTTTGTACAAGCAATGAAATGGAATAACAAAAATACATCAATTTCGATATGTTGGTTAAATTACTGCTTCCGGAGATACATTAATAAAAGTGACACATGACAATTTGTTAAAGAATTATCACTATTTTTGTACATTATTCAGTTCATGATGGGGCAAAGTACATGTACCACAGGTGTAGTCTGGCTTGGTTTGGATGTGACAACAGACCCTGTAGAAGGAGATCTGGAATCTGGAGGAGAAGGATAGTAGATTCCAGGGCCAGAGGCTGCAATAGAGGATACCATCTGCAATGCCACAGGGGAATAATTGCTATTGTCACACCTGGATGACTAGATAATCTGCTGAGAAGCCTGAATACCAACAGAACTGGTGGGAACACATACACAGCTGGATGCTACTGTATTTACTGCTGGAAAGCTGGAAATTTTATGCTCAACAGGAAGTGTTTGCACCTCATGTTGGTAGGGGTTGCCATCAGGTCTGGGTACCCACCGCTGATTGCAAATCCTTTAAAAAAAAAACAACTTGTTCAATGACCA